CCATTTGAATTTTTAAGATTTTGCAACGGGAAGTTAGTTAATTTATTTATTAGGATAATTAATATTTGTATTAAGGGATATTGCTTATTTCATTGTAATTTTTTTAATATGTGATACATATATATTGATTTTTTTTGATGAAGTTGTACTGCAGAGTGAAATTCTGTGCAGGTTTTAAATTTAATATTTGGTGTTCATTTAGGCATTTTTACATTTAAAAGCCAGACGAAGGCTCGTCGCGTAGCAGCTTTTTATTAATATATAGGCAGCACTAAGACACGTGGCGAGCCATATTTTGTCAGCAGACTCTAATTTGATGGCAACAAATATGCGCAAATTTTGATGTTATTGACAAATATCGATTCTTTGTTCTTGTACGCAGCTAACCGAAACTGGAACGAACTACCTCAACTGGCTGAAGACGTAAATAACAGAAGATTAACTTGTAGAATAAATCTATCTATGATTTAAATATTTAATTTCAAACTTTTAAAACACGATTAGTACTTTCTTCAGATCAGACTTCTGAAATACAATATTTAAATACCTCCAATATTAATTATAAATGATAATTTCTACTAAGTTTTCTATTGCTAAGCCAACGAAATGAGAATTATTTATAGATTTAACTTTAGCTGGTTTTAAACACTCTACGAGAAATTTTTGTTAACTAAAAGTTCAAGTATTTCTGAAATAATTTTGTAAATATTTACAAATGAAACTTACATTTCATAAATAATAAAATTCGAATTCAGAATATTACCAAAAAACACCGAATAATGAATTTTATAAAAGAAAGAATTTTCAATACTAGAACAGATGCTACAGAATCCTTTGAATTTTACGTAAATATCTTTTCCCACAGTAAACACGATTCGCACACGGTTATGAAAAATAAATTAAAATAATTCGTGTGAAAAAAATTTACCCGATTTTGAAATACGGTGTAAATTGCTGAAACGCTCGCTTTCTACACGTTTTCTTTCGTTTGGTAACCATCTGCCATGCAAAAAGTACTTGCATGTTTCTCAGGGGGGGGGGAATATCATAATTTATTTATTACTCCAAAGGGGATATTTGCTCAGAAGGACTATTACTTTCGTTTTGGCCTTTTGCGTTGATCCTTTTTCTGGGTTGTTTCACTCTTCAAATCGTTGCCACCACATATTATCGCCGTCTTATATTTAAAGAAATTAAATAATGAAGAATCTGCATAAATGTATGTATGTTTCTCACATAGTGATAAAACAACGGTAGCTAGAGCCATCAAAATTTGAATAATGTAATCTTCCATAGAATGTGGGCATGTGGAAGCCCTAATTTGAATTTGAAATTTGTTTTATTATCGATTTCGTATTTTGTAACACTTCAACGAATTTTTGATTAAAAAACTGAACAATTTCAAAATGAGCGATGGCAACACTGTACGAAAAAAAAATACCTTCAGCGCGCGACACTCTGTATTGGAGATTCTAAAGATACGCTCATTTTAAAATTAATTTGCTATATTGCTGTTGAACTGAATTTTATAGTTTGAGTACGCAGAACATGATATTTATAATAAATAGAGGTAACACACACACACACACACACACACCAAAAAAAAAAAAAAAAAAAAAAGTTAAGAAAACGTCCCTTGGACGTAATTTAAAATCTGAAACTTTTCAGATTTTTTAAATTTTTATTTATTTACTTATTTTAAGATCTGTTTTAGTATCTTAGGATTTAAGTGATTTTCTTCAATTGTGACATGAGTACAAGGTCCGCAGTAGCATTTTGCTACCCAATGCAATCTCTCAGGATCCTAAATTCTGCTGTGTGTTGCCTTCTTAAATTCTAGAAATTTTACCGCCCAATGCCTCCTGAAAATTCTAAAACTTTTGCTGCTTAGTATTTCTCTAAATTCTGAAAATTGTGCTACCCAATGCACTGCCTGCGGGTTCTAAATTCTGTTGCACAGTGTCTCCCTTGAATTCTATTACATTGATACATATTACGACATATTTGCTGTTGTAATATGAACTCAAATTTGTGCCCAGCTGGAAAAAGTTTAGTCTTACACGTATGGGAGATTGCAAAAGTTTCCGAAAATTCAGTAGAGTAAGTGCACTATAAAAGAAATTGAATTCTGTTATTTCCGAACAGATTAAATATTATTCCTTGGAACAACTGCATCAGTCTTAAAAGAAAGAGGCATAAAAATGTTCAGATCACTCGTAAACAAAGCCTGAGACACCAATACGCAAGACCAATTTATACTCAGGTCTTTTCCTTAAAAACAACCGTTCTATTTCACAGCCTTTAAACTGAATGAGCTGAAGTCGAGGACCAAACATAAAAATGCGAGCAGAATGGGTCGTCAGAACAGTAATTTTTAAGTTGCGTTGTTGTTCCCGTTGATTTATAGATAAGAACATCATTGTCCACATTCCGAATGTCCATTGTTTCAATTATCTCTGGTTTGGAGTTTGGAAGTCAAGGATTCCAGAATAAGTGACGTAAATACTTGGAATGAGTTTTGCAATTGGTCAAGTTTGGCACGGTGGTTGCACACTGCACTAGTTCTCAGAAGTTATGTCCCGAAAACGTTGCACGCAGCTCGGTAGAGATAAAAATTTTCACTCTTTAAAATACATTTCTTGAATACTGAACAAGTCTGACCATTGTCGTAAAGGTAAAAAATAAATAAATAAATAAATAAAATTAAAAAATCTGAAAGGTTTCAGATTTTAAATTACGTCCAAAGGGGCGTTTTTTTAACGTTTTGTGTGTTACCTTTATTTATTAAATAGCATGTTCTTCGCACTTAAACCATAAAATACAGTTCAACAGCAATATCGCAAAATAATTTGAAAATGAGCATAGAACAGCAATATCGCAAAATAATTAGAATTTCCGATACACAGTCTCGCGCGCTGGAGATAATTTTTTCCTTCCCCCCCCCCCGCGCACAATGTTGCCACTGCTCGCCATGAAATCGTTGAGTTTGTTAATCAAAAATTCGTTGAAGTTTTACAAAATATGAAATCGATGATAAAACAAATTTCGAATTCAAATTAGGGCTTCCACATGCCCATATTTTATGGAAGATTACGTTATTCAAATTTTGATGGCTCTAGGTACTGTTGTTTTATCACAATGCGAGAAACATACATATATTCATGCAGATTCTTCAATATTTAATTTCTTTAAATATAATACAGGGCGATAATATTTGGTGGCAACAATTTGAATAGTGAAACAACGCTTATCGTTAATCGACGAAAATGCCAAAACGAAATTAATAGTCCTTGTTGTGGGCAAATTGACCCTTTGGACAGGGAAAAAAAAAAAAAAAAAAAAAAAAAAAAAAAAAAAAAAAAAAAAAAATTGGCCCCCCCCTTAAAAAAATTGCATTTTTCTCCTTGTTATTACTTCACTTGGAAGGGGATAATAATAATAATAAAATGTTATAAATGATATTAAAAAAATAAATCTGAAGGAGTTCAGATTTCCCCCCCCCCTCGCTAAGCTGGTGGTCTACCAGTTTGCTCTTACACACACTCCTACTAACCCCCTTTTTTAACATTTTAAAATTCCTATTAATCCCCATTTTTTATCATTTTAACTTTATTATTAAGAACAATTTTCTTCGCACTTACGTCTCATACAATTCAATAGCAAAATTACAAAAATTTTAAAAGCACCATTAGCAGTATACGTGTAGAAATTCCTGATGTAACATAAAGTGATTGTATGCATTTTCCTGTTTTTTCTCAGTTCATCCTAACAATGTTCAGTTTTCTTTGCAAAACTCTTTTTTTCTTTTATTATTATTAACATTTTGTGTGTTTACATTGTCTATTAAATATCAGGTTCTTGGAGCTTACGTCACATAAAATTCGATTCAACAGCAAAACCATAAAATATTTAAAAACGACAACAAGAGGCGGGTACAGTGATAATACTTATATGATCTTTTAAGGTTTTAATTCTCAAAATTAATTGTATTTGGTCATAAGTGGTGACGCTATCTTGGTGATTTACTGTACGAGAGCATAACTTTATTTACACATATTCCTGAATTTCAACCGGCCACTAGAAAGGCCAATCTCCTGTCGAATAATTTTTAGTCCAAAGGGATTTCAGTCCCGAAGGACTATTGCTTTCGTTTTGGCATTTTGCGTCGGACTCATAAACGTCGGTTCACTTTTCAAACTGTTGCCACAAAATGTTAGAGTCCTGCATTATATTTGAAGAAATTAAATAATGAAAAATCTGCATAAATGATTGTCTATTTTCTCGCATTGTGATAAAACAATGGTACATAGAGCCACCGAATTTTGAATGACGACATCCTACTGCGAATATGGGCATCTGAAATCCCAAATTTGGAATTTGTTTTATTATAGATTTTATATTTTGTAAAACTTTAAAACGAATTTTTGATTTACAAAATCCCATGCTTTAAAAGCGAGAAATGGCAACGTTATATAGAAAAAAAATACTTTTATTCCAGCTCGCGAGACTGTGTATATCGGAAATTCTAAAGATATGCTTAATTTAACATTATTGCGATATTTGCTCTTGAACTGAATTTTATGGTTTAAGTGCAAAGAACATGAACATGATATTTAATAAATAAAGGTAACACTCAAAACGTTAAAAAAACGCCCCTTTGGACGTAATTTAAAATCTGAAAAATTTCAGATTTTTTTTGTCATTTTTTTTTTTTTTTTTTTTTTACACACTAACATAAATATCATAATTATTTTTTGTAACAAATAACTTCTGGAAACGAGATACAACTGTTACAACAAATATACAACTTCAAAGCAATTTATCTATTCAGTTTCTTAACTATGCACAAAGAAACACCTAAGTTTGAAAAATAATAAATTAATCATCTTTGTTCCCTCATTTAATTAACTAATAGCAGAAAAGAGTTAATAGCAATAAAAGTTTTCGGTGTATATGACATAAATTAAAATGCAGGTTTAAGAATAATGAATGAAATTTACCTTTCTGAAGATTTCGTATGTTTCGGTGTTTTCCGGGTAACATTTCGTTTTTCAGAATTGGCAATTGGTTCTTTTAAAGGATCTGGATCACAAAGTAAAGGTATCCTGTCTTTAGTTCTGTTGCTATAGCGAAGCGCAACGAAACGATCCAGAGAGCTTGTCCTCCTCACCAGTTTAGTACCTCTAGGTCGCCTCGTTTCGGTTCTAGAGCGCCGGAACCCATCCTCTGAATCATCTGTATATAGTAATTGGTGCTTAGCTATTAATTTTGCCCTAGGTTTAGTTTCACCGTTCACCCACTCTTGGCGGTAGCAATAAGATAAGGGATCTGGACCATCGTAAGGATTCATCAATAAAGCTTCCCGCCAGGATGACTTGCTGGACGTGTAAACAGATTCCTCAGCAATGTCCATCGATGAAAAATGCACTTTCTTCGGACATGCAGATGCCTGAGGAGATTGATTTCCGCAAGAGTGGGTTGTGCCTAGATGATCTTCATCGTCGAAGAAATCTTCCAAGGAATCGTAATCAGGAGTTGGCGTTTTGGGCGGTGAAGGGGACATGGAACCCACGCCGGAATCCACCAGTGTCTTACCATTTTGCGCATCGGTGGGAACACCACCGTTGGTGGAAGGCAAAACAATAACCAAACTGTACTTGTTAAGTTTACCAGGGGATTGCGATACTTTGTCGGAAGTCACTTTCTTCTCTTCGTCCCATTCCTCACTGGGGTGTGTATTATTTATGTCCACAATTGTTGACATTTGCTTTCCTCGAAATTTAGAGCTGTTGCGGTAATCGTCCTCGAACCAGGCAGTGGCAGTGTCATAGGAATAAGTGCTCATACTTGCGACATCTTTGGACAATTCTTTACAAAGCGGCAAATCACATGGCACATTAAAAAAAAGGCACACTTCACCAAAACTATCAGTAAATTTCCACAGAAGTGATTAAAAAGGAAAAGAAACAATGCTATCAGTATATCCAATCTTGAGGAATTTGCGCAATATCACTCACATTTCAACGTCATAATTCATCGCCTATTCTCTCTTTTTTTTTTTTTTTTTTTTAGAATCCAATTGGGCAATCTTTGGTATAACTTCAAAATAAAAGTTAGATAAACAAAGCTTTTATTACGAATCGCTAAGTTGATTCCACGTAAATAAAAATTTCTTTGGTTGGCGAAGCAAACTGAGTGATTTCACTTTTGGAATTTATGCATACAAGTAGATGTACATTCAAATGAAAGACTCGGAGTACAGGTCAATTTCCAAAACATAAACAGTACGGTCCAATTTGGCAACCGTAATTAAATCAAGCGTTGCACAGAAAATATTCGTCAACAACTGACGGCACAGCAGCACAGAAAACAAACACACCTCACTCTATTTGTAAGCTGACTCCGTAGTACGTCAAACACACCAAACAGCTGTATGTACGAACAGGGAAGCAGAGATAACACTGATGCCAGATTCGAAGACTGCAATTTCTTCTTTTAGTTTTGTAGTTTTCTCCCCCTGGCGACTTCCAATAACAAGTTGCGGTACTTTTTCACGAGGAAGCTAGTCTAGATAGGTCACACGAATCTATCAAGTGGAACAAGCAGAGAGCTGGCTGTTCGTTTGCGAAAAACTCGATATTCGCAAAGGATTCTGAGAGTCACGGTCTCTCGGCCCGCGCGTGCTCAGTTTCTTTATTTACATGCCTGGCTCCGCCCACTAATCACGCGCGACACTCTCAGAGACTTGCTTTCATGTTTACGAAAGTCATCATCAGTCGTGATTTTAACATTCGTAGCAATTTATACACAGCTCAGAAGATACTAATGTATGGCAACTTATTTATATTAGCAGTTTTAATATTTTAAAAAACATGTATATACGTAAAAAAGTAAATTTAAAGTTAAAATAATGAAAAATGTGCAAACATATAAAAGATTTAATTTTCGAACTAAACTACAATATCATTTAAATTCAGATAGCATAAGTAAATGAAGTGCAAAATCAAACCATGAAAATAAATTCACCAATTGAGCAAATTAAAATTAACTTTAAATTTACTTTTTTACGTATATACATGTTTGTTAAAATTTAAATTTCATTCCGTGCAGCAATGGCGCAAAGAATTAATTAAAATTGTATTTAAATTCAATTTATTCCTTTTAAAGCAGTTTTAATATTATATATAAAAATAAGTACCAGAATATTTAAAAATTACTGTATGATCTAAAATAATGTGACCGTCGTATAAAATACAAGACTGTGGTCATTTAGAATTATAAATGGAGAATAAAAAATACTTCACAAGTTATTTACCACATTTAAAGTTACTTTAAAATAACAAATAATACTAATAATAAAAACACCACTTTAACACTTGTTCTTATCATACATCTTTTAGTTTACAGCTAAGCGCTGCATCGCAGTTTCAAGAATAAAAACGTATACAGGCGAAGTTCCATTTTAATCTGAACGTTCTGTCTTATGGTAGAATTAAAATGGTTATAAAACTGAAAAAATAAAAAAATCTGAAAGCCTTTCAAGAGCATAGAGCCCCTTTATGCTCCCTTATTACGCTCCCTTTATAACCCTTATTTAACACCTTTATAACCCTTTATAACCTTTATGCTCCCTTTATAACCCTTATTACGCATAAAGGGGCGTTTTTTTAACGTTTTGTTTGTTACCTTATTAAATATCAGGTTCTTCGCACCTAAACGATAAAATTCAATTCAACAGCAATATCGCAAAATAATTTAAGAAGAGTTTACCTTTAGAATTTCCTATACACACATCTGTGTATAGGTAATTTCAAAGAGAAATATATATATATAGGAAATTTAATTTTCGTGCGCTGGAGAAAAATATGCCCCCGGTACAGTGTTGCCATTGCTCGCTTTGAAATTGTTAAATGTGTTAATCAAAAATTCGTTAAAGTTATACAAAATATAAAATAGATTTAAAAAAAAATGATTCCAGATTTGGGCTTCCAGATGCCCACATTCGAGTGGAGCACTATGTTATTCAGAATTTGATGTTCTTAGCTACCGTCGTTTTGTCACAATGCGAGAAACATACGTACAATTATACAGATTCTTTATTATTTAATTTCTTTAAATATAACACAGGGTGATAATATTTGGTGGCAACAATTTGAAAAGTGAAACGCCGTTCACAGTGAACCAACGCAAAATGCCAAAACGAAATTAATAGCCCTTCTGGGCAAATTTTCCTTTGGGGCTAATATATATCGCAGTGGAGCAGTTCTTTCAGCCAAGTTGGAACTTTAAAATTTTCAATATCTGGAAACGAACGTTAAAAATCTTATTACTACATGAAAAAAAAAAAAAAAAATATCGAAAATTTGTATAATTTAATAACGTTTAAATGAAATGCAGCCAAAAATATGTATAATTTGATATGACGAACAAGGAAGTCATGTGGTGTCCGTACCAGATAAACAAACTTTTTGAATGAAAACTATGCAGAAAAAATTTCGGAAGATTCATTAAAATTTCAAAAAAATCGCACATGAACGCAAAGAGCAAAAATGATGAAAATATGACGAAAACGTCGGGTGGCATGAAAAATGAAGGCATGAAGTACAGGGTGAATCTGAACAAAAGAGCAGAATTTTAACGGGTGATAGAAGGCAGCTATACGTGCAATCTTTGTCATAGAATGTCAATCTATGTCATAGAATGTCAATTTTCGTATGAGCAATGTTTGTCACAGAATGTCAATCTATGTCATAGAATGTCAATTTTTGTATGAGCAATCTTTGTCATAGAACGTCAATTTTTGTATGAGCAATCTTTGTCATAGAATGTCAATTTTTGTATGAGCAATCTTTGTATGAATGCATCTATGTCATAGAATGTCAATTTTTGTATGAGCAATCTTTGTCATAGAATTTCACTATAGTCATAGAATGTCAATTTTTGTTGAAACAATCTTTGTCATAGAATGTCAACGTCATTGTCAATTTTGTTATCGAATTGTCACATAGAATTTTCTTGTCAGGAGAAATCTTTTGTCATAGAATTCAATCTAGTCTATGTCAATTTTTGTATAGCAATCTTTGTCCTAGAATGTCAATCTACGTCATAGAATGTCAATTTTGTATGAGCAATCTTTGTCATAGAATTAATCTATGTCATCTACCTAGTGTCAATTTTTGTACAGAATTTTGTTATAGAAGAATTTTGTATGAGCATCTTTGTCATAGAATGTCATAAGTCATAGAATGTCAATTTTGTATAGAATCTGTCATAGAATTCAAATTATGTCATAGAATGTCAATATACGTCATAGAATGTCAATTTTTGTATGAGCAATCTTTGTCATAGAATGCATGGTAGGAACATAAGCGGTGAGAAATTAACATTGTGACATTTAAAAAAATAACACAGGAATGAGAGGAGATACATCAGAAATTTTTTTTTACAGGAATGTATCGTAGTTGATGAACATTCTCAAAGAAATTGTTCAAAAGATTGCTCAAAAGCTGTAACGTGGCATCACACCTGCAGGAGAGGAAACTGACGCACATTTACCAGGTATTTCCCGAGTATCGCCAGCATCAACAAACGATCCTGGCGACTAGATCCATATAGGTTTGAATGGGGCACTCGTAGATTAGGCTTTTCATATGGCACCACAGGAGAAGTCCCAAACATGAGAGATTCGGTGATCTTGGTGGCCAATCTATGGGACCACTTAGACCAGTCCATCGTCGGGGAAATTTCGTCGTTGGTATAACCAGCCATCCTCTCGACAATCCACAGTAGAAAATGCCGTTGAATCCGAGGACAGACCCTTTTTATACCATCTAAAATATTACCTAGCGGTTCGCCGCCTGCGTTCCGACTATACATTCTGTGACGAATATTGCTCGTATGCCTTCTGTCAGCCCCTAAAGTTCTACCCACTTGTTCAAATTCACTTCTGTACATGCAACAGATACTCGCCGATTTTTATCCTTTAATATCCCTGACAGGTTTTTCACTTGTTCTTTTCATAAGCTTCTTGCACAAACAAAATATTCAGGTCATTACCTTTCATATTAAAGGAAATTATTTATCGCACTCAAATAATATATTATTATAATAAGGCAATAATTATTATAATAAGCAATTCCTACCAAGCGTTGACATAAATGCAAGGGTAGCACATATGCAACTTATCCGCACACTCACATGTAGGCAAGGGCTAACGCTTAAAACATCATGCATTCTAGAATATTGCAAACGAAAGGCAATTTCTGGTAACGCCCCGAGGGCTATCTAACGGGAAGGATGCCTTCGTGGAGGCCTTTCTATGGGAACTGACTTATATACATGTTACACATGGGGAAAACCATGAAGACGACTATGCAGCCAGCCCATTCGCGGGATTCGAACTACCAGTGTTCAGCAACTTTACCGCTCGGCCGGGCAATTTCTGATCCCACATTAAAGCATTTGGTAATGTTACATTTCAGCCGATATCTGGTCACCTGAAAATTTAATTTTGAAATATGATCAAATCCAAAAGAATTCTACACTCTTAGACCTCCCCCCCCCCGAAAAAAAAGAGAACGCACCACGACGCACACAAATTGATATGCATACAGGTTTCGACGGAAAATGCAAACGGAATTTTAACGGTTTTGGCTACAGCGCATCTGTGAATCTGCTCAATTGGCAGGTTGTCGTCACTAACAGCGCATCTGAAATCTGCGCAACTGGCAGGATCATTCTTGAAAGGAGAAATTACCAGAGTAAATGGAATGGAATTAAATGGATTCCTGGTCATAAATTCTTCACGAATTTCATTCCGTGTACTCTGGTAGACAGCTAACTATGCCTTCGCAATACAGGTGCGCGAAACGATATGCGGCAGATATTCAGAATCTTGAGAGAGGTCGTGTAGTTGGCCTCAAAGAAAGCCGGTTGGTCTTTTCGGCGAATAGCTCGACATTTGAGCAGGAGCGATGCCACATTAGACGACGTTAGTAGATGGGTGAATATGGCCGCACACCGTCAGAGGAAGGGGTAGCTAGAGCAAAGACAGAACGTGAGACGAGCAATCGTCAGAGGGCATCAAGCCCGGGCACCATATCATCGATGTACGTGACTAGGGTTCAGTGACGGAAGGACCATTCATGACGGCTCACAGAAGGAGCTGAGGTCACGGTGCCCTTGCGCCGACTACATTGACCTCGTACAGTCAAGACCTTTGCATGGTGTCGCTCATTCGAAAGGATGTCACTGAATGGAGTAGAATAGTCTTCAATGAGTCTCGTTTGACTGGCTCCGATACCAGGGAAGGCGAGTATGCAGACGCCCCGGACAGCGGTGTGATACAACTACTGTCTTCCGCAGACAGGCCGACACCAGAGTGATGTTAGGTTCCTTTTCATCTATAGGCCCATTTGGTGTCATCCGTCGCACTTACAGCACAGCGGTGCGTCGAAGAAGTCAAGGCCCATGTGTCCCCTTCTGTACGCC